TCTCTCTCTCTCTCTCTCTCTCTCTCTCTCTCTCCAAAACTCATCTCATTATCATTTGTCAGTCTATTCAGTGAATATATTAATTCATCAAAGAAAACAACTATCACTGCCTGACTGTCCCTTTGGGGCAAATAATCTTTAAGTATATAAAGTGTACAAAACTTTTTGAAAGTAAATTTAAATTTATAAAAAATAGCTTTTGAAATAAAAAGGCTCTTCTCTTCACGTAAGTAGAGTAGTGTTGAACTGATTTCTCCAAATAAGCCATACTTTCTCCCATTGTATATAAACTCGCGATTCAATACACAAATCATCATTCATTCAGTTTCTCAACAATGATTAAAGTGAGTATTCATTCAACAAAAATCCACATCTCATTGCTTGCAATCATCAATGCATTGCATTTATACCTAACATCTACTCTATGTTATATTGCTATTGGATTTATCATCATCAAATGCAATATTCTATATGCATTCAGTATATGCATTTAAACAACCTTTCTGATTTTCTCTGTATTACAGATTGTAGTCCTGTTATCTCTGAGCGCTTATTGTACGGCCTATTCGTCGGGCGGTTACGGCTCGTCCAACGGCTTCGGCGGCTCATCAAATGGTTTCGGCTCCTCATCGGGTAATTTCGGTTCGTCCGGCAGTTTTGGCTCATCGGCCGGCGGTTACGGCGGCTCCTCATCGGGTAATGGCTTCAGTGGCGGCGATGGAGGCTATGGTGGAAACGGTGGCGGCAATGGAGGCTACGGAGGCCAACAATCCAATGGCCCGATTCAGGCCGCTGTCCACACGCGTCACAGTCTCGAAGTGAGACCTGTGCCCACACAATACGCCAACATTCAGCCCCAGATCATTGAAGTGGAGTCCAGCGATACGCCCATTATATTGAACTTCAACTCCCGGTCGAGTCGACTACTGGTCCAACAGAGTCACACTCCACAGCAGCCACAGGAGGTCCAGTCAACCAAGTCTGAGGACGAACCGCACCGACTCGTCCACGAAGTAACCAAACCAGTCATACAGGAAGTGCGCGAAATCATCACTCCTTACAGACGTATCGTCCAAGAAGTGAAACCAGTGGTGGAGGAGATTCACACAGTGGTGGCCAAAGGCGAGGGCCGTCGACGAAACAACGACGACTATCAGTCCAACGCCGGCAACGGTGGCGGTTATGGCGGCGGAAACGGCGGCAACGGTTTTAGTGGCGGCAATAATAATGGCGGAAACGGCGGTTACGGAAGCGGTGGAAATGGTGTGAGTTTTGGCGGCGGAAACGGTGGCGACAATGAGGGCGCGTACGGCACCCGATCCAACGTGATTAGTCTCGGGGGCAGCAGTTATGCCAGTAGTCTGTCATCATTTGGTGGCCGAAAGTCGTCCAAAACATACAAATCCTAAACGAGTGAACGAATGGTGTATTTTTTAATTGTAATTGAATTAATAGTTCATTCAGTTTTCATAATTAATACAATTTATTCAAAACGAGAATCTCTTGAAAAATGAAAAATCAAACGAAACATACTTTTATAGCAATGAATTGAATGTATAATTAATTCTGAATCTTGTATTCAATTAATAAATTATAAACAAATAAAATTGCTTTTCATGCCATAAATCAATGAATACTTTTATTTACAACAAATTTAATAACAAATTAGTTAAATGAATATAATTTTTATATAACTTATAGATTATGGATAGTTATATTTTATGACATATTTAGATAAAGTTAACATTATAACATTTTCAGTATTCTGTATACTAACTTAATGTAAACATGGTACGAATATATTAAATCAATATTAATGTATATAAAATAGATTTTAATAAAATGCAGAACACTTTAAATCTAGATCTAAATCTGTTTTGGAAAAAACACTTGAATTAGAAATGCACTTAAATCCAGAATTAAATACTTTTAAAATATTTTCTTGCAGTAATACAACATAACAATCACTTCAAACATATAAAAACATATTTTCAATAATATTTTCAAACATATCTTCGTAAACAGATTTAGCGTTAATACTATTTATTTATATTTACTAAATTCATAGCGAATTATCGATCAAATAAGACAATATCTAAACAAATGAAATCGTTAATAATTAGTTTACTAATCATATCAGTAATTGAATGGACGGGTATTTATTAAAATTATATAAATGTAATCAATACTGAAATTTAATGCGGAAAACAATATTCAGATACATATCCGGTGGCGGAACCAGCGGTGGTCTGTCCCGAACCTAACGGTGTGGTTCGTAACCCATATGACTGTCACACATACTATCAGTGCCGTAACAATTGGCCACAATTGCAGAGCTGTCCCAATGGCCTGTTGTTTGATTCAATATTTGAGTGGTGCGATGAGGCCCGGTATGTGACCTGTTAACCACAATCTACCTTATTATTTAATTAACTATAATACAAGAATTATGAATGTAATTATTTTAAACAATAAACAATCGATTATAGTCTACGGACATCAGTTTGTGCTCCTATTTATTTATTGAGATGAGATATATATTTATTAAAATATATTACAATTACTCTATAATTATATGTTTTGTGTGTAATATATAGTAAAGAAGAGTGCAATAAATTTTTAAGGGCTTTTTTAGTAGTAATATTCATGATATTGTTTAATATAACGTAATATTCTCTCTCTCTCTCTCTCTCTCTCTCTAATTCAGTGCACAATATATTTGATACAAACTTTTAAAAAACTTTTTTCATTTCATCAAAAATGATGATAAATTATGATTTTAAATAAATATATAATATTTG